GGCCTTTTTTTCTGGGGCCTTCTCTGCTATTTATATTTCTCAAGGATAACCGTCGAACTGCACATCTAACTAGGGGTGTGCGCGGTGCGGTTCGGGCGGTTTGAGAGTAAAATTACAAACCGAATGGCGGGTTGGCGGATTAGCGGATTGACAAAATGCGGTTTGGGCGGTTTTTGGCGGATTGGCGGATTGAAGAATATTGTAACTAATTATCATACATTTGCATAATATATAATACTAATTTGTATAATATTTTTTAGATATATAACACAAAGTAATTTTACATAATATGTTTTATATATATAACTACTAATTTGTAATAAATTTCATATCTTAAATATCCCGCACACTCATTTTTACATTGATATTTCATTGGAGGTTAAAAAATATATATGTATTAACTATAGCGGAGCGGAGCGGAGCGGTTCGGTTGGCGGATTATAAATTTTAAAGTTTAAACCGCGGTTAGTGGTTAGAGCGGTGCAGATTGATGCGGATCGGTGCGGTTTTAGCGGATTAGGCGGTATTTTGCACAGCTCTACTTCTAACCGTTGAACTGCTCCTCCATGATCGCTGATCATGTTGCCTTATAGTTAGCTCTACTATGCCAATACCTACAGTTAGGCTTCCCTCCTAATTTTGAATTTAAATGTGAGTAACCGTTGAGGCCACATCACTTTGCATCTCCTTACTGATCTAGTACTGCGTAGATCTCATGAAAACTAATACTAACTGCCACGTGTACGATCACGATCGAAGGTTTGAATTTTCTTCCCGTATTGTCCTTATTTTGTCACGCGTCGAACTGTGACTGGCCTGTACAAAATATATAGCCAACAACTTTAATAATTAAAATATTATATTTTTATTATTTTTTTACTGTAACGCTGTACAGCTATTTTTCCATAAATTTAATAAATATCCAGAAATAAAACACACAATTTGAGGTGGTGCAGATACTTACTGACAGTGGCGGAGGGAGCATGGGACTAGGGGGGTCACGTGCCCCCTCGGATTTTGGGAAATCTTTTTTCAATATTTTAAATAAAAAATTACAAAAATATTATTAGAGTGAAATGTCAATGACATTTTAAAAATTATGAAAACAATAATGATTGTTTTGATTAAAAATGAAGAGACTATTATAAATAAACCGTATTAGTTATAAATTTTTTTTAATGTAACGGCGATGTCATTATTAGTGATATGCAAAAATAAGTAATCTCACTATAAAAATATAAAATTTATTGGATTGTTACTTACATTTGATATGTGAAGTTCACTCTCTATGTGTTTATTTACCATTAGTGGGTGATATCACATACTAATGATGACGTGGTATTATCATTATATTGAATTTTTAATCAAATTTTGTATCAAAAAATAATTTATCATTATATAATTTATTTTAAGGTTTATATCCATATTTTTTTTTGTATTGTCCATGATACAGTAGTTACAAATAACATTCAGCTTGCTTGTTTCCAGTTTTCAGAAAACTCAACTTTTTTATTTTTCGTATTTTAATGTTTTGAATGACTTTTTTTAATATTTTAAGCCTTTTTTTAAAAAAAAAGTTTAGACACACCTAACATAAATACACTTAAAAAGTATAATATTTGTGAAAAAAATATTTTAAAAATAAATTAAATACCAAAAAATACACAAAAAAATTAAAATTCAGTATATTTTTTATATTTTTGTGTATTTATTAATTTTTTAAAATATTTTTTCACAAATATTTTACTATTTAGATACATCTAAGTAAGGTGCATCTAAAAAAATCAAAAAATTACTTAAAATTCAAAAAATATTCGCTAAAAATAAAAAAAAATATGAAAAAAAAAAACTCAGTTTTCAAAAAATTGAATTTAGAAAACTGAAACCAAACACACTAATTTTTTTTTTTTTTTATGTTTCTTGAAATCAATCGTAAAAACTTACGTGAAATATTTTTGTAAAAATTATTGTAATTAAAAAATACCCCTTCTAATTTAATTTTCTGGCTCCGCTACTGTTTACTGACACATATAGTTCCTTAGTTCTGCAGGCACTCTTGGGCATGTTCCCAAGTCTGATTGCAAAGCTCAAATTCTAGATCATGAAATTTTCACAAAACCTATGGATGCAGAGCATACCATGACCTTACAAAAATTAATAATAGTGATAAAAAGAAATTCAAATATTAAGATAATTTATAATAAAATCCTTAAGTTCTAATTAAAACATATTCATTAATCTCTTGACATTTTAAAAATGACCCACTAAATAAACCCTTGCTGGAAAAAGATATTAATAATTTAACCACATTGTTCTTATTTAATTGACATTTGACTCTTTGGAAAAAATATTAAGATAAATTAGATAATTTTCTGAAAATTCATTAATGTTTATGCTAGTTATTGATGCAGGGAAGCTTATCGAAAAGAAGATCAAACAATGAACAAATCCGAACTAAAGATACTCTCTCTAAGAACGAATAATTTTGAGAAACACTCAATTTTTATTAATCAAATATAAACTTTAACTCCCATAGCCCTCACGCTTACAACTTTATTTATAATTAACCTACATCTTGGAAAATAAGAAATTAATAAAATAGGAAATAAAAATCAAAACTGATATAATAGAAAAATTATATCAAATCAAATTAAGAAACTAAATAAATCTAGGGGAAAACACCAATAAATCCCGAGTTTAGATAGTTTGAACCATATAGTCCTGCAATTTATTTTGTAGACTGAAAGATCCCAAGTTAATGTTATTTACACTTAAGCCCACGAATGTAACGTGTGGGTTGACTAGTTGAAGGGGTAAATTTGGTGTTTAGGTGATGTTGTAATTACCAAAACGCCCAAAAGCATACTATAACAACTTTTTCATTTTCCCTCCATTATAAACAAAACGGAAGCTCAAAAATTGGAACTTCAACTTTTCATTGTAGATGTTGCAATGTTGATCCTCATTTTGTGTGAGTTGGATGCTGGATTTGGCAACGTTGCACCTAGCATTCTTTATTCCCCAAATAACATTACAAAACCCCTTCAAAACGCTAGAAAATCCAAAAACCCCTTCTACCAAATTTGTAGAGGTGAAACGGCATGGGCACTGGAACATTTATGAGTGCGATTAACGCTGTCGACGTAACATCGGCAATTTCACATCAATCTGTCGGCGGCAGCATTGATTGTGTGTTGGTGCGATGACAACAAGTATGGGTGTCTTCGATGTTACTTTGGTTGTTTGTAGAACAATACGACATTAAGGTTGATGCTCGAAATGAGATGTTGTTTAAATGGTGCGTAATGTGGGGTTTTAGGTGATGCTGTTAACATTGTGGTTTTGGGTGTTACCAGTGACACCAAATATGATATTGTGCTTGTACGTAATGTGACAGACGCATGGTGTTTTAGTTAATATTTGTATGATTGGTTGGGTCTCATGTAATGTTATTATCTTCGTGGTTGTGGGGATTACCAGTTATTGCAAATGTGATGTTGTGCATGTATATAATGTAACCGGCACATTGTTTTTATTTAACGTTATTATGATTGTTTGAATCTCTTGCAATGTTAGTATTATTGGGGGCCATTGAGAAGATAACATCAATAATGTAACACCAAGTAGGTAACATCAACAATCCCTACAATCACTTTACGAAATTTCTTTAAAAAATGAAAATGTTAAACCATACCTTACCCACATACACCCAAATCCCATCAAAGCATCAAAACCAAATCTCAAATAAGGATAAACAAGTAAACTCTAATATTACTAAATCAAATCAATAACACATACTACAAATAAAAAGGACTAATTGGTATATAAAAAAAAAATGTAGGACTAAATAGACTTGCATTTCCCCAAATGGAATTTATGAGTAATTTTTTCATAAATTTATACTATTCTATACTAAATTAAAGGGCAAATTACATATACCCCCTCGAGGTTTAACAAAATTACAGATATCTCCTGAGCTTTGAGAAATTACAGATACCCTCCTGAAGGAACTATTTGCATAACAAATTAAGGGACAAATTGCTATGAAAATATAAACCTCATGGGGCAATTTGTTATGAAAATATAAACCTCAAGGGGGTATCTGTAATTTTCGAAACCTCAGGGAGTATCTGTAATTTAGCTAAACCTCGAGAGAGGTATATATAATTTGCCCTAAATTGAATATGCCTAATTAAATATTAATTTTAAAATATAAAATATATAACATTTAAATTTTTTTTTTATGATTTCTTAATTAACACTCCATATAAGTCCTATATATAGTCTTATATATTTGTACATAATATTTTAAAATCTCAATATGCATCAGTTAAAAAATAAAATAAAATAAATAAATAAAACCTTTGTATAACTTGTTAGTTGAACAAAGGCTTGCCAGAAAGGCTTAGAGATGGGCCAACAAGTGGGCATAGAGGTTGGGTTGGGCCAGCGTCTAGTGCTTCTTGTCTAGGTCTAGGCCCAGTCTTTCGACAATTGAAATTTATATGTCTTTTTCATGTAGTAGCAGGTATATATCATTATTTTTTGAACAAACCACCAGGTGGTTTCTTCATTTTCTTCATTTTTGCCCCGTGTCATTTTTCACTTTCAATCAACTCCATTCGAACCCTTAATTTTGAATTTTTTTGTCAATTTGGTTTTTAATTGATAATGCTAGTTAGAATTTGACATAAAATAGTAATTAAGTTGGTCGGAATTGGAATAAACTCAATGAATTGAATAAGTTTATAAATGTGTCTCTAAAAACCTAACACATGTCGCTTATGTGTATATTTTCATCAAAAATATTAACAAGTTAATGTAATGGACTAAATTAAAATAAAATCATAAAATCAAAATTAAAATCGAACAATTAAAATTACAAAAACCAAAATAACATAAATGCCAAAGTATAGAAACTATCGGATATAATTTGCTCATGTGTAAATACTCATAAAACATGAAACAAAATAGTTATCATTATTTCTCATTTGAGGAAGGAGAGGGCGGGAAAATGTTACAAATAAACAAATAATAATGTCAAGCATTATTTTTAAAAAATTTGACTATACAATTGTTTACAAGTATGTGTCTCTATTAATATCTTGGTATATTCGTATTGATAAAATAAATGGCAAGAGCATGACCCAATCTAAATTAGTTTTCCTATGAACAGAAATTGATTACAGAATTAGATACAATTCTCTCACATAAATATGAAGTTATGAAAAAATGAGACTCACCTCATGTAAAAAAAATTATATTCAATTTTGTGATCGATTTTTGTATTCTTAAACTTTTCGCACCTAAATTTACACAGGTAAATCAGTTTGAAGTTGATGATGACCTTCCACACAGCTTGAAATCATGTACAAAATCTGGCTCATCTCTGGCCTTGCTTCAGAGTTATCAACCAAAGCCAAATTAGCAACATCAACTAGCAATCTCACTTGTTCCATATCCACATCACCATTGAGTTTTGGGTCCAACGCCCCCACCAAAACCTCCAAATTTCCCTTCCTCCGCCACTCCTCAGTCCGCTCCACGAGCGTCACTGTCCCCTGCAGAGACTTGAGCCCCGTGACCAGCTCGAGCAATAACACTCCAAAACTGTATACATCGCTCTTTGTTGATACCCGACCGGTGTTCATGTATTGGGTGTCAACGTAGCCCAATGAGCCTTTTATTGATGTTGGAGTTTGTGCGATCTGGGTGTCATGGCCCAACTTGCAAAGCCCAAAGTCTGCCAGTTTGGCGTGGTTGTCATCAACCAAGAGGATGTTGGAGGACTTGACATCCCGGTGTATGACGGGAGGGTCGGCCGTGGAGTGGAGGTAGTCGAGCGCTTGAGCGACATTTAGGGCAATGCTTAACCGATTTGGCCACGAGAGTACTCCCAAGGACTGGCCATAGCGTGTGTGCAATCGATCATAAAGGCTCTTGTTTGGAACATATTCGAGTAGCAGTAATTGTTCTCCTGATTTCATATCAAGAAAGAAACAGAAATTACTAATAATTCATATAATAAGAAATTATTAACATAAAAAAATTAATTGAAAGTATCAATTGATGTTTTCTATTGAACTTTGTATTATTATGTATTTTTTTAAAAAACACAAACAAAAATGATACCAAAACTTATAATTATGTGTTTGTACTTGCACTTGCACACCATAAGGACAAACCATGCAAAACGGTTGGTGGTGTAACTAACAACTTGTAAGCTTTCGTTTGGTAACTTGGATTGGATTGGATTGGATTTGGGTTATTTTAATCATAAAAAGATAAAATAGGCTTTTTAGTTTAATAAGATAAAATGTCATATTCAACACATAATCATTATATTATTTCTCTCACAAAAAGTCAAAAAAGTCAAAAAGTCATTTCCAAACAAAACTTTTTAACCTCATGCTAATAGCCAAAAAACCAAAAAGTTAACCCATTTTCCAAACGAACACATTTAAATTTGATAAAAAAAAAAAAAAAACTTTTGCCAATCCATGAGCTATCTTAAGTTGGTATAAAAGAAGTTCTTAAAAATACAAATCATCTTTTGTGAGTCTTTTAATTTAAAGCTGAAAAAAAAAAAAAAAAAAAAAAGGGTCAAAACTTATCATAATATTCTATATATGATAATTTTTTGTTTGTATTATTACACTACTATAATAAAATTACTATTCTTTCTAACGTAATAAAGTTTTAAATGGGTTGATAGTTGAGACAAGTAAAGTTTGGTGAATGACAATAAATCACAAGTTGTATAAGTAAAAAATTAGTGTAATGATGATATTGTGTTATTATTAGCATGTAATATCACTAATCAATTCTATTAGTCGAAGGTAACTAATAATTCACTGCATAATGAGATTAATTCTATCTGCAAAATAACGTGGCACTAGAGTTGCATTGAAATTTTTTTCCATGATTGCGGAAGAGGACTGTTTGGAAGGAGGATTATAGTATTCATACGGCTTACCTTTCTCCAAGCAGAATCCCAACAACCCAACCAAATTCGGATGAGATATCCTTAGCAAAACCGAAACCTCGTCCAAGAATATCTTCTTGTTGCCACCTCTCTCCTCCATCACCCGCTTCACGGCCCCGAACCTCCCATCGCCCATCTCTGCCAAATATACGTACGAGGTGGCTCCGACGCCTATTCGAATCCTAAAATTCCTTGTCGCCACCTTCAACTCTTCAAGCGCCAAAGTCCTAATAACACCATCACCGCAGCCACAACAATGAGTGCAAATAGTACCATTCTTGGAAGTCCCTTTATGACACTTCCCACTTTCTATATCACCTGTTTTCATAGAAGAGTTGAGACTTTCTTGGTATTTGGACTCTAGATGAATAGCCAATTTTTTTAAGATGAGAGTGAGAAAGATCACAAGTATTATTGCACCAATGATCCATACCTTTTTTGGGTTTGTGGTGGAGAATACAAAGAACCACATTGTGGTGATCTTTGATATCTTCATTATCTTTCTCTTTAATATATGGCTTATATTTTAGTTGGTTTGGAGATCCAGAAATTTGGAATTTAGCATTGAGGGGTTGAAGTTACTGTTAATTGTCCTATGCATGAGGATAATGAAATGTACATAAGGGTCTTTGATTCTATCTTAATCTTTGACCTCCTTGAAGAATGGAAATTAATTACTAGCTACCTATTTCTTTGCCTTTCTATGACCCAAAAGATGGATTGATCTATATGGTTAAAGTCCTATATACATGAACAAAATACAATATAAAACACCAATAATGCTATAGATTTATATTTTTCATCCACAAGTACATTTACAATGATGTGATAAGGGTGGTGGGTCTATATCAGTAAATGTTTAACTAATTAAAAATTAACACTTAACAAATTATATTATTATAAATTGAATTTTAAAAAATTTAAGAAAATCTCAAATATTTTCCATAAAATACTTGGGATCTGTTTGAAATTCTTCATGCTACCCGTCACAATTATTGCAAGAGTATAAAGTCGTAGCCTTTTTATTAGGTAATAACTTAGGCTTTGAGATTGAGAAGTGCTTGGAATACAAATGTGTTCCACATATGTGAGACAAATGGTAGGAAATGTGGATCTCATATTATATGGATTTTATCGTTTATCTTACATTTGTGTTCTATTTTGTGGAATACATCTGTATTCTTAGAATTATTTTTTTGAGGTTTGGTTTATATTAACTTTTTTAACAAAAGAAAAGTTGTAGCCTTTTTATTACGCTTTGACGTTTGGTTTTTAATTTTTTTTAACAAAAGAAAGTAATTAATATGTTTGAGAATGATTTATTTAATTATATGAAAAAACGTAAATGACTAGTGTTTATGATTTTTTTTTAATCTCTAAGGGTTGATTTGGTGGTCAAAACTTGAGGCTTGAGGTATGTTCTTTCCAAAATCTCAAATTCAAAATCTCCTAAATATAAATAATTTATTGGAATCAGTCCATTTGGGTCATGTTTGTTTGGGTGGACATGACCTTGGGATTGGACTAATAATCCAATAAAATTATTAATCCAATGTTTGGTTAAACAATTGAAGTACGGACTAATTATTTTAAACTTGACTATTAGTTAAGATAGGATACATAATCCAACGAATTTGTAATCCTAGGACTATTAGTCATGGGAATGCTAATCCAGTCCGCCCAAACAAACATGGCCTGTAGTTTTGCTAAATTATGACGGATTTAGATCACTAGATGATTAGAATGAGGATATTACATAATTTTGCAGCATATTATTAAAATTCAAAATTAATGATTTATAACTATTACATCAATTAAAATTTAAAATCCCTTTTAAAAGAATTGTGCTGCAATAAAAAAAAAAAAAAATTCTTCAACATTTAGGCAGGAAGGGGGATCATTATTATAGGAGAACCCCTTGGTTTTGTAATTTGTTTTTGTTTTACTCGTTTTTTTAAAAATATTTTATTATTAAAATATTAAAAAATTACTTTTTTCTGATTAAAATATTCATTATGCCAATTTCCAATCGAGAACCTCCCAACTGTAAGTCTCCATCATCTTGCATGACTCCATTTAGAGATGCTATACAGACAGATTTGTGCAGGTTTAAACAGCTAAAACATGTTGTGTATTAAAATAATCTAATCCAAATCCATATATGAATAAACTCTTTTTTTATTGGCTATTAATAAAATGTGTGTATTATTATTATTATTTTTAAAAATTTTCTTTAGGCCTTTGCTTTTGGGTAGTGCCAAGATACCCTTCATAAATTTCTAAAAGTTCACTCATAATCTCATAATTACTAACTACTCAAATTTTGATTTTAAATTTTGATAACTTTTTATAGTTTTTTCTCTTTTATATTTCACTAATTTATTTTCAGATCAGCTTATCTCCTATCCCAAATCGAATTGTTAGAGAAAATCTAGAATTTCTCACAAGTAAATCAATCAATGGGAATAAAAATTAATGTGAAAAAATTAAATAAAAAATAACACAAGAATTTTACGTGATTCCCTCAATGTGAGATACGTCCACGGGATCGAAATCCAATTCTACTATCAACCAAATAAGTATCCAAACGATTACAAACCAGACACGAATGGTCTCACAAAACTACTGAATTCCAAATAATCACAAATAAATAAAAGAAAAAATCTCACCAAATAAATAAATAAAAATTTTCAAATCAAAATTATAAAAAATCCAAAATAACGAATCAAATCAACTTCAAAGTGAAGCCAATAATCCAAGCAAACTAACAGCCAAAAAAAAATGGCACTCTTTTGACCCAAAAAGTGATATCTTTCCCAAGCATAATCTCACCAAAAAGGAATTGTTGCTGCCGTTTTTTTCCACTCCACCGAATTGATTTCAATCAATTATTAATATCAAGTCACTGCTGCTGCTCACTTTCGGAACACACAAAACAATATATATATATATATTGGGAATTTAGGATTTTTTTTTTATCAAATCAATATTTGTTACCAAACTGAATTAGATCTCCACAAATTAAATATCACTACGTTAAAATTGGGCTTTAGCGGCGGTTTTTTACCGCCATTAAAGGCTGTAAAACCGCCGTTAAAGCCTTTAACGGCGGTATTAATGGCGGTTTCGTTACCGCCGTTTATGCGTGTGTCGGAAAAAGTGAAACCGTCGTAAAAAGATAAATTACCATCGTTAAAAGTCGACCAAAAACGGCGGTAATATAGGACCAAAAACGGCGGTTTTTTACCGCCGTAAATAGGTTCAAATTTTTCAAAAAATAATTCTTTCTTCTTGCACTCCCCAAGTTTTGAACCCAAGACCTCTCATCCACCAACACCAACCACTCTACCATAGCCACTCTTCATGAAATATATTCCCTAAATAAATATTTAAACATTACTTTTACTTTATTGTAGATGGTTTCGCCGGAGCTCGTCGGAGTTTCGCCGGAGAACGCCAGAGTTTTGCCGGAGCTCCGCCGGCAAAGACCGCCGTCATTAACGACGGTAATGATTGGGCATTAGCGGCGATTTTGTTACCGCCGTTAAAAGTGGGCATTAACGGCGGTTTCGTTACCGCCATTAAAAGTGGGTTTCATTACCGTCGTTAAAGACACTTTTAGTGGCGGTTTTTTTAACGGCGGTAACAAAACCACCGTTAATGATACATTAACGGCGGTATTAACGATGGTTTTCGTTACCGCCGTTAATAGTACCTTTAACGGCGGTTTTCGTTACCGCCGTTAAAAAAACCGCCGTTAATGCCCTGTTTTGGCGTAGTGTATAACATATATAAAGTATATTATACTCAAACCAAACCAAACCAAACCAAATTAAAATTCTTTTAACAAACCAATTAGGTCTCAAACTCCAATAAGGAGATATATCCCAACAATTCTCCCCCTTTCGACTTAGGTGGAGCCATCAACCATACCCGCTAAAATTCGACACTTCAAATGTTTGCTCCTCGACAAAGTCTTTGTCAACATATCCGAAATATTATCATCTGTGTGAACCTTTTTGAGTTGCAATAACTTCGAATCTAACACATCACGAATCCAATGGTACCTCACATCATAGTGTTTCGATCTCGAATGAAAAGTAGAATTTTTACTCAAGTGAATAGCACTTTGACTATCACAATGAAGCATATACCTTTCTTGCTTCAAACTAAACTCTTGCAAAAATTTCTTCAACCATAACTCTTTTTTGCAAGCTTCCGTAATGGCAATAAATTCAGTTTCGGTAGTTGAGAGAGCAACACATTTTTGTAATTTAAATTGTCATGCCACAGCTCCTCCTACAAAAGTCATCAAATACCCCGAAATAGATTTCCTTGAATCAACATCACCGGCTATGTCAAAATCTGTGAACCCATCAAGCATCGGCTTACCATCCCCAAAACACAAACATGCCTTCGAAGTCCCTCGAAGATACCTTAAAATCCATTTTACCGCTGCCCAATGTTCTTTACCTGGATTAGAAAAAAACCGACTCACCACACCAACGGCGTGAGCAATATCCGGCCTTGTACAAACCATAACGTACATCAAAGAACCAACTGCTGAAGCATAAGGAACTTTCAACATCTCTTCTTTGTCTTTCTCACTTGTAGGACATTGATTCGAACTAAGCTTGAAGTGACCCGCAAGTGGACAACCAACCGGCTTTGCTTTATCCGTGTTGAACTTCTCAAGAACTTTCTCAATATAGCTTTCTTGAGACAACCAAATCAGCCCCTCTTTGCGATTACGAACAATTTTCATACTAAGTATTTGCTTTGCCGGTCCCAAATCTTTCATAGCAAAAGATTTACTCAATTCTAACTTCAACTTGTTAATCATGGTAGAATCTTGACCCACAATTAACATATCATCAACATAAAGCAAAAGAATAATAAATTTACCATCCAGAATCTTTTTCACAAACACACAATGGTCTGAAGTGGTTTTAGAAAAACCATTATTCATCATGAAATAGTCAAATTTTTTGTACCATTGCCGCGGGGCTTGCTTGAGGCCATACAAACTTTTCTTCAATTTGCAAACAAATTTCTCTTTCCCATTAACAAGCTACTAGTGACTTGGCCTATTCATGTAAATTTCTTCTTCAAGGTCACCATGAAGAAATGCGGTCTTCACATCAAGTTGTTCAACTTCAAGGTTCATACTTGCAGCCATGCCTAGTACAACCCGAATAGAAGACATCTTCACAACTGGCCAAAAAATCTCATCAAAGTGAATACCTTTCTTTTGCCCAAAGCCTTTCACAACAAGACGTGCTTTATACCTCAGATTCTTGCCATCATTCTTCAATTTGAAGACCCACTTATTTTTCAGAATTTTCCTTTCCTTAGGCAACTTCACTAAATCATAGGCGTGATTTTCAAGTAAGGAGTTCATCTCCTCTTCCATGGCCTTTTTCCAATCACCTTTCTTTGCATGCTCAATTGCTTCTTGGTAGCTCTCAGGCT